CCCCCCCCCCCCCCCCCTCCGCCCCCTACCAACCACCCCAGCTATACACCTCGGTCTTAAAAGAGTCCATGTATGGGGAACATCTCTGTGGGACCTGAGAATTAAAGTTGATTTAGCAGGAAGTACTTACGAAGTGGATGTAGTAAGTAATGGGTATTTCTTTACTGTAAGTTGTTCCATCAAGCATCTTGAGGTATTGTTCCAAGAGACCTGCAGCGTACAAGAAGTCAAACGAAAGCTATTGAGAAGTACTTTCAGCGGTACTCTTTATTACGATGTATAAGACGGTTCTTACTTTTTTGTCTGGGGATAAAACCCTAGTGTGTGACCATTCAAATGAAAGCTACGGAGCAGTACTTTCATGGGGGTACTTTCTATTATACTGTGCAAAGAGGTTCTAACTTTTAGATTAGAGGATTAAACCTATTGCTTACCAACTTACAAAACAGTGCTTCCTTCTGAGAGACCAACATTATTTAAATAAAAGCCAGGTTTTGAGCTGCATTTCTAATTTCTAATGTCTGTTTTTAAATTAATGAGTTTGTTAAAATCTAATTTTATACTTGAACATCATGAAACTGAAAACGACAACCTAATTGCGAATCAACCCCCTAAAGTATTTAAATCAAGTTTGAACATCCTTAATACAGTTTAGAATTTCTTTTTTTTTTTTGCAAATCGAGTAATCAAAAATAAACGAGAACGCACCTCTAGTTTTGGTGTACTCCTTAACCTCGTCAAGTGCTGAAGACTTCAAATCACTCAGAGAACCTTCACATTTTGCTTGGGGAACCCTGAGAAACGAAACCAAACATTAAATAAGTCCTCTAAAAAGTGAGGGCCACCTATTAACAAAAAAATACAGTGTAAGTTATTTATATCTGGTGTTGAAACAGGAACGTTGGTCCGCATTTACAACAAAGAATATCTTTAATATGTAGTTCTTCTCCGTTTTCAAATTGGTTGCATATTAATAAGATAGTTCTAGGGGCTCTAAAAGCAAGGTTGCTTTACAACTTGCGCCAAAAATGTACGTTTGAATGCAAAAACAAGTTCACTTGCAAAAAGCGTAAGGACTATTAGTACGAAATGTCATTTGTCACGTCATCCCTCAATGCAGGTTTGTGTGGCGAGCGGATATTTTAGGCTTGTTGTTTTTTTTCTTAACATTTAACAGATCTAGACATTGTACCTTGTTAGCTTGAGAAACGGAGGGCTGACGTGTTTTACAGGCGGGGGGACTGGAAATGTACTGGTTGTGATGTCATCTGCGGAGAATACAGATCAGTCACTACTGAAGATCAAATTACTTGTTAAAAATAAGACCTTTTCTAGGTGAGAAATCACTAGAGATTAGAGAAGTAACTAGAAACAGAAAATAACCAAAGATAGTTACAACTAAGGTGTGATGGATTTTAATAGAACGAGGAAGTGCCATCCGTGGAGAAACTGCCTTAATGCATAGTTGACTCCCGTCATCCTTCTAGCGAAAAGCTTCACTTTCAGAAGAAAAAAAAACGAGTCAACACATAACAGGGTAGCCCAGCCAGCTGAAAGTCTAACAATCGTGAAGATGTCCTGTCTGGCTGTACACCATATCAAACTGGACTATACTGGCTTTTGACGAGGGAAAAAAGCTTGAACAAAAAAACAAACAAACCAATCAACAAACGAAAAACAACAGAGTGGACAAACGAGAACTTCAATTCACGCACAAGGAAGCGGCACACTAATATCAAGAAATGAGCTCGAGAAACAGTGCTTAGCAAACCACTGCACCGCCAACTTTTGGTCTCGATTCTTTATCACCTTGTCATTTAGTTTTCTACCTTCTACACGTAAATCACCTCAATTAGTTATAATACATGTACTCCCAGCTGTACTGTTTAAAATGTCGAATTCCACTACCCTCTGTATTCATTGTGCGGATAATAAAGTTTGCGAGATACAAGTAATCATCATATTATCATTACAAAGGGGTAACACTCGTACCAGCGATGACATGGGGAAGGCCCTGCTTGGATGTCTCTGAGGCCAGTATCTTGGAACACTGCTCGGAGACGAAAACGACAGAAAACTCAGAATTACATTTAATTACAATTAATATCAATCGGGTAAAAACGTTCTGACAATGTCATGTGTTATCACCTGACTACAAATACCAAGAAACAAAAGCTGCTTCTGCCATGTTCCGTAAAATAATTTGTTGAATGGGCAAGTACGCTAAATATTAGCTTTGTACGTACGCGAGGTTCAGTATCGCGGGGAGGCGGGGGAAGGGAGGGGGGGGGGGGGGGGGGGG